CTGTTGACCCCTTTGTCTTTTTAGGATCTGGTCTGTGGGGGAGGGGGAGTGTTTTCTACTTATTCCAGGTTTGTTCCTCCAGCTGGAGGAACAAGTGTTTCAGAATCTTGAATGATGATACTTTAAATATAGGTTGGCCTTCCTTCTCTGGGGACTGCCTCTTCCACTTTGATGGTGAAGGTCTTTTGAGTCGGTGATTCTGGCCGATTCTTTGTTGACTAGTTTATTACCTTGTGGTTAAAAATCCTCCTTATATTGGACCTTTGCTTTGGCTCTTCTTGCCACTGTGGCTGCCTATTCTGTTATTTTGAGTCATGTTTTATTACATTTATCATATTCCTTCCCTGACTTTCATGTAGTTAATGGAAGGTTGTAAATAATGCTTACCACTGTCTTCACTGTTATCAAAGTATGAAGTCCTGCTGGTTGATTACCTCCAGAATCTCTATCTCCTCAAAGCTCCAATGTTGTTTTATCTGTAGAGCAACTTCTCCTCCTTCCCTTTTGATCCATTCTTTTTGTAGTGCTTGGTATCATCTTGGGATTATTACATCCTCTATTACATTTGTCAGTTTTGACACCTTAACTGGGATGATATGATGCAGTTCTGCCACCCATTCCTGTAGCTCTACCCCAATATTTGTTATACTGTCTGCATTTGTGTACTAAATTAGTATTATACTAATTTCTATTGGGTTGTAAAGTTTCCTTCTGGAGAGATACCAGGAGGAAACTACCCCCCCCCCCAAGCTACCTGGGGGGTAGCTTCACCGTTTGGGCGAAATGGTGAAGTCCCATTCAGGAGGGTAGCATTTGCAAGTGATGGTCTAGTCCCACTCATTCCCCTGGTCCCTTTCTTCATACTTTCCACCACTGCCCATGGGATGGTATGAGGTGCATAATAAATAAATGAATCTTTTTTTCTTCATTGTCTCTCCATCAGTCTTCATGTGTGAGGTTTTTAATGATTTATGTCCCATCTGTGTTGGAGTTGGGCGACTGGTTTTTTGGTTTTGCATTGTATGATTATTTGTGGCAGCACAGTGTGGCGGCTTGGAGATCCTTCCTATTATTTCTTTCACTAGCATGTATCCTTTGTCATGTTTTCTCTGTCCTGACTTACCTGTAATTGGTGCTTGCTACTTCTGTTATGTTACCTAATTTTGCTTTGGCAGTCCTTTTTACTGGCACTTGGAAAGAGTGCCAGTAAAAAAAGAATATTCTAGAAGAATATAATATAGAAGAAAGGTGAAGAAAGAATCTTCACCTTTCTCCAACTGCCTCCAGTCCAGTCCAGTAGAATCTATTCTACATATGACAAGAAATACACTTTTGATTACAATTTCACATAGGGTTTTATTTAACAACACAAGATTATTTTACACTGAATAGATGAGGGGGGGGGAAGGATTACTTGGATAAATCATAAGATTGTTGAAATCAAGAGGGATACCTTCCACCAATCACAAGCCTTAGTGGTGAATTGACAAATGGATCCACACAAACTGGGACTTAGTCACTACTCTACTCCACACTTCCTTGATAACTACAAAAGGTAGCATGGACTTTTTACAGTGCAATGTCCTGACACTTAAACACTTTATCACTTTATCAATGGGGATCACAGTTGATGGGGAATAGACAGAAATGGGGAATAGTCTGTAACATGTTTTCACCCACGTGTTACAGACATCTGGGCGAAAAAATAAAGATAACACAAAATACCGCCTACACCCCAGGGTTCTGTAAATAAACATAGTTTTAACACTGCCAATCACTATCTAATACAGAGAGGAAGCACTTCTATAGTCTACATGGGATACAATGCACTTACTGTTATTGTAGGAGGTCGTCACAAATCACACCAGCGACAGCCAGTTTCTCCTCAGGACCAAGTCAATGAGAGAGCTCGCATGTCTGTGTGTCCAACCGCCTGATTCCAATAATGTTTCAAACACATCTCCCAATAGTTTATTTAGATGTCTTACTGTATAACGTTCCAGGCTGTTTTTCTACATTTAACACTGTTGTTTATATATATTTTCCCCGCATTAAATATTCTTTTTAAACATGTATTTACTTTGCTGTTTTGCTGTTTACATCGTTCTGGGGATGATGCTTTCCTGCTGACAGTGCTCTACACATGTGTAGAACTGCCTATTGTACTGGTGGGGATTTCAACTGTAAGAGTTCCAGACTGTTTTTCAACATTTAACACTGCTGTTTCTGTGTGTGTACTGCATTATATGCTTCACAAGGGTCGGTCTTTCTCTCTCTCTCTCTCTTGCTCTCGCTCTCTCGCGCTCTTTCTTTTACAACAACATGTTTACTGATGATGCTAAGATACTAAGAAAGATAAGAAACTTGGATGATTGTCATGCCCTTCAAGAAGACCTGGCCAAAATAAGTGTATGGAGCACAACTTGGCAAATGGCATTCATGTGAATAAATGCCATGTTATGGAATGTGGAATAGGAGAACAGACGACACATAACCTACAGATTATCTGTAATTCTAATAAAGAAAGAGATTTAGAGGTAGTTCTAATTTTCTATTACCCCGAGGACCGCAAAGAACATCGTGCAAGGAGCCTATGCTACACTTGCCAATTTCAGAATTGATAAGATGTTCATTCAGGTAAAGGTACATTGAAAATGAGTTATTACCAAAATGTTGGATTTCTAGATAGAGCTAGTACAGTACATACAATGCCTAAAGCCACTAATACACACAGCATTTCAGGCAAGGTGTGGAGAAAAAAACTTGGTTTAAAACTTAATACTAATTGAGATCAAAAGCATAAATTGAATTGAAAAAGGGAAAAAAAAGAAAAGGAGAATGATGATAATTACATGATAGATGGAACAGCAGAAGGAATTTTAACTAAATAAACAGATGATTATAATTTTCTTTAAGTTTATACATGGCAGATATCAGCAGTTAAACAAGTTGGTCAATAAACAATATTGTTTGAAAATACCAAGACATAGGTTGACATTTAGGAGGTAAGGTAGGTTACATGGAGTTTATTAGGTAGTACTTTATTATGGTAGTACTACATTCATTAAATTGCTCTTAAATACATGGATGGTGAAATACTCAAGAAATTGTTCAGAACCTTTGTTAGACCAAAGCTGGAATATGCAGCGGTCGGATGGTCCCCATATCTTAAGAAGCACATCAACAAACTGGAAAAGATACAAAGACATGCAACTAAATGGCTCCCAGAACTGAAGGACAAGAGCTACAAGGAGAGGTTAGAGGCATTACCTTTGCCAAAACTAGAAGATAGAAGGAAAAAAAAGAGAGAGGATCACTATGTACAAAATACAGTAATAACGGGAATCGATAAAATTGATAGGGATGAATTCCTTATACCTGGAACTTCCAAAACAAGAGGTCATAGATTTAAACTAACTAAAGAATGCTGCCAAAGAAATATATGAAAATTCACTTTTGCAAATAGAGTGGTAGACAGTATGAACAAGTTAAGTGAGGTGGTGGTGGAGGCCAAAACCGTCAGTAGTTTCAAAGCATTATATGATGGTGTTGGGAAGACGGGACACCACGAGCATAGCTCTCGTCCTGTAACTACACTTAGGTAATTACTTTTATTGTGACTATGCTTTCTGATGAGCTTTTCTTAGTTGTGTGGTTAATCTCTGATCAGCTAACCTAATCTTGGATAGTGAACCAGATTTTGAGCCTTGCTTCAAGTAGGTAATGAATGCATCTCAGAGGTGCATGAAGTCACTGAGGCATCCCACCAGAAAAGGTAATTTCATTACATTGTGTGTGATTTTTAAGCCTATTCAATTAGGATGTATGGGTCATTTGTAGAATATTCTATCAATAAATGTACTTGGCCCATAGGAAATGTCTGAGCATGATTTGAAGAGAAACTGTATTATCTTAGAATGGTTCTTAAGTTTATTGCAGAAAGGAAACCAAGCCATGAAGAATACCTGCCGCCATGATTGTCATCTTTGCCTTGCCATTTAAGCCCTAGTGTCTCTTTTGTGGTTAATTATTATTTCATTTTATCATTCACATTTAAATTTGTCTTCATATTTAGTTTATTTTAATTTTTTATTCAGTTTATTTTAACTTTTTATTCAGTTTATTTTAACTTTTTATTCAGTTTTTAACTTTGTATTCAATTTATTTTAACTTTGTATTTAATTTATTTTAACTTTTCTGTATTACTGTACAGTATATACCAACCACTTGGTCTGGACGGTAGAGCGACGGTCTTGCATCATGCAGGTTTGCGTTTAATCCCCGACCGTCCAAGAGGTTGGGTACCATTCCTTTTCCCCCCGTCCCATCCCAAATACCTATCCTGATCCCGTCCAAGTGCTATATAGTCGTAATGGCTTGGCACTTTCCCCTGACATTTCCCTTCCCTTTGCTATATTATATTTATTTTAACTTTCTATTAAATTATTTTAAATTATTCAGTATTGTATCTTATCATTTTTTTTTTTTACTTTAATTTTGTTTGAGTTCGTTTTTGGACTTGTTGCAGAGAGGAGGAGAAGAGGAACACAGAAGCAAGTGGAGATGAGAAAGAAGAAGCACATCTTTAAGTGTACATCATGTGTGTGTAATACATGCTGCTACAGTTCTACAGTCATGTCAAGCCATCACATTTCAATACGTCATACAGTTGAGAAGTGTAGGATAAACAAGACAATCTCTCGTGCCTTATAATTACAGCTATTAAGACGGCTGTTTTAATATATGTATTAGAGCTTTTGTAGAAACACTAATCAAATGTATTAAGGTGTGGTTGTGTCAGTAGAAGAAAGCTCCATAAAGAAATCACAGATTATTATGTATAATGCCTAATGAAATTTACAGATTTTTGTCAATTGCTCCATGTAACTCTTAAGTGCAAGATTGTATGGGTATGCTTCTCGGTGTGTGCGTGCACTTGCTTGTGTAAATGTGTTGTGCCCTGCCCTGTGTGATGCAGTGTTTCTACCCTTGTGTTTCAGGAGTACTTTGAATTGTGTTAACACCTTGGGGTCGAAGCCCATGGAGACCGAGCATGCGGCACTCATCCGCGAGCTCTCGGGCCGGGCGCAACAACAGTGTAAGGCTCCTCCCTGAGAAGTCGCTACCACCTAGCTGTCCCAGCACTGCCTGCACTGCTTACTCTACACATGACTTGTTATCCTGGCTTACCCTACTAGCCTGCAGGTGGTGCTGGGGCAGCAGTTGTAGCTTCGGCTGTGCACTTATTTTGTAGGCTTGACTGGCTTGTGCTGTCCTGATCTGGCTAGTTTTTGGCCATTCTGCTCCGCCTGAGCTGCTGCCCACCCATTCCATCTATCCTGCTTCATTGTTTACATAATGGAGCAGGCACTGTGGGAGGCGAGCTGCCATAGTGTTGCACACCCATATGCACAAGGCACTTACAGTACTTTATACAGCAGATCACTCGATATCATCTACATTATAAATAATTTTTTTAATTTTTTTGTCTTGTATATTCTTAGTCTTACATTTGGTTTACATCTAGCACCATCAGTCTTTTTAATTGTCTTTTTCCGTGTCCTCCTGGACCTTTTCATTTTTACTAACATTATATCTTGCAGACAAATGCAATATGACTTCAAATCACTTTGATTGTATTACTTCTTGTCATAATTGTTTATTTTCCTTTAATTTAAATAGTGAACCCCAATTAATCCTTAAACCTGTGCCTTGTGCTTCGGGCAGTATTGTTAAGCTGTTTTCATTTTCCTTGGTTGCCTTTTTTCATGCTTGAAAATTATTTTATTATATGCAGTACAGTGTATGCTTAGTATTCACATGTATTTGGTACTAGCTTAAAGTTCTTAAGGTGCAGCATACATATCCCGCAGGTTATTTGGATGACAGCCAGGTGAGAGATCAATGCGTGCTCTTTGGATGTTGATTGGTAATGAGTCTGCTTGTGCCTCAGGCCTCAAATGTGTTTTGTTGAATCATTGCAAGAACGTGATGAATCTATGAATAAATATCGAGGCAGTGCAAAGGAAAGGTTCCGGCCCATGGACTCCATCATGGTCCAGTTGATAGTGTGCCTGAGGAGCTCAAGGACGTTGGCTCGATTCCATTGTATGGACTCTATATTTATTCATGTGTTTCACGTTTGATATTTATTTGTAATATTAAAAGTGAAAAGTGAGTTTGCTTCCTACTGTGCTAAACTCTTATCAATACTTAGCATCACTAGAGGATAATTATCAGTATAAGCTAGGTATGTTTTTTCACTTTTAAATATAGCAGCTATTAAATGCAAGGATATGCATAAAATACATATCTCTGCTTGAGTAGAACAATTTATTCTGAACCATTTCTGTTAGATATAATGTTCACTTTTTTATATTTTTGACATTAAATGTATTTGCTTTTATTTATGCAAATAATAGACATATTTTGCTCAATTTTAACACCAATATAATTTGGAAAATGTATATTTTTAATATAAGGGATAATTTAATTTTGTTCAAAATTTTCTGGACTATCTCGCGTACTTGTTCCCGAAGGCATGATCTTACTGATTCATGGCTACGAAATGACAGTCAGGACATGTCGACATTTTCCACCAAGGTAGAGCGAAACTTTTCAAACTGTCACCTCGGTCATACTAGTGTTGGATGAGGCATTGAAGAATACTCAATGCAGATCATGAAAGCACATTCATATAAACCTTAAAGCCTTTCTAAGCATTACTGAGTGGCTCACTAGGCCACTACTCCCAAATAACACCAGGTGGAAATAGACATAACAAAGTCCCATGACCCAATTTCATCTCATTTTTTCTAACTAACCTTTTCAGTTGGTTATATTGTCTACACTGTAATCTGAATTATATGGGGCCCACCCCCCATTCAAGTTATGTAGTGACTTTCTTACCAGGAATGTCCAAAAATTAACAAATTGGCAATTTTGTGTACGACATCCTGGTTATTCCTACTGTTTACCCCTCACATTTTCATCATTTACCTGCTTACTTAAGCCGATTACCCTCGCATTGCATCATTCATCCATTTTCTCCCACCATTTACCCCATGCATGCAATATTGGTACTATCAATAGGTGAGTAAAAGTTACTTATTGCATCATTAAGCAATTACCAAGGGTACTGCTTAGTACCATCTTGTGATGCTAAGTACTGCTTAAAAAGGTTTTAAGGTGCTAATATGAATGCATTTTCTGGCTGCATTCATTGTTCTTTAGTGTCTTGCAAAGTACCATTATGAATAGGCAAGGAAATTTCAAAGGTTCTCCATTATGCTGGTGCAATTTAGGTGACCATAGGTTAGGATCTGGCATAAGCATCCTTCCCTGATTGTGCCAGATCCTAACCTATGGTCAGTAGGATCCTGCTTCAGGGAGCAAAAAGTGTACTACAGTACTTTACAGTACTTGGAAAATGTATCTCGTAAGGGACTTATAAGGGTCCCGGTATTTGTATATGGGGTCCCGGTATTTGTATAAGGGGTCCCGGTATTTGTATAAGGGGTCCTGGTATTTGTATAAGGGGGTCCCCGGTATTTGTATAAGGGTCCCGGTATTTGTACAACGGTCTTGATAGTAGTCGGGTTCGTTCTTAATGCGGTCAAGAATTCCAAGTTCAAATCCCGGGTGGGACAGAAATGGTTGAGCACATTTCTTATCATCTAATGTGCCTGTTCACCTAGCAGTAAATAGTTACCCAGGAGGTAGTCACCTTGTTGTGGGGTTCCATCCTGGGAAGGGTTAGTAATTCGACCCAGAGAGTGGAGGGGGGGGGGGGGGAACTTGGTGTAAGCCTAACATGTACTGTATGTTTAAACTGGCTACCTGTCCCCTCTTTCAATTTCTTTTTCTCTGTCTCATTTTCTCTCTTTCTCTCTCGTTCTCTCGTTCTTTCTGGCAGACCTTTCTGGATTTTCCAGGTCATGTTTCTGGACATATTCCTTGCATCTAATCACTTGTTAAAGTGGAATCCTTCTGCCGAGTCTAATATTCCATTGGATGGGTTTCTGTTCAAGCTAATTTTTACTGTACAAATAATAAATAATTACAGTATTTTCAAGTACATACCTTTTTTTTAGTTAATTATTAATTAAAAATTAGGAAACTGTTGATAAAATATAATGAAAGGTATTTGAAAACCTCAATGAAGAACAAATTAGTATACAGTAGTGTTATTTTATACGCACTCTTTTATATACACGGAAGTACTTACATAGAGTTTTGTAGGAATGTTATGTTTACCACAATGTTATGGATATTAAAATTAAATCGGTTAAACATTGTTAAAGAAGGAATGGAAGAGATTTGTTTTTACTCTCGTCTGTGGGTGTGGGTCGTCAGTAATTAGGAATATGTACATAAGAATAAAGGTAATTGCAGAAGGCCTATTGGCCCATACGAGGCAGCTCCTATTTATAACATGAAAACTACCTTATGGTTTTCAGATAGATTTTTTTTTAACAAATTTGTAATGTCCTGTGATATCTAGAGACTACCCTGATACATGCTATCCTGGGGGATCCCCTTCTTGATCACCCTCATGTGATGACAAAATATCTAGTTTAGTGCTCACTTTACTACATAAATGCTTGTTGCTAAAACCCATTACATATATCAAAATGTTGTATATCAAAATACTTAACCATAGACTTCTATTATATAATTAGATATATAGCATTGTATTCACTAGTTGGTTGAATGGTTGTCTACAAGCTGATTGCTTGGCCGGCTGGAAATTTGATTGGTTGATTGATTACTGTAGATGACTGCGTGACCATCCACGCACACCTACAGGAGCACGGTACTCCTTAGGGCGTTAATTTAACTGGCAACTGTTGTTGATTAAAGGAAAATGTGTAGCTATTGGTGGTCACCTATTGGTGGTCTACAAGGGAGTGAGATATTATCTCGGCCGTGCTCCTTCTCCCCCTTGTTCAAATAATGCGTTATTGAGTCAGTGTCATAGTTGGTTATGCACAGCCAGTGCATTAGGGAAGCATGTGTGCCAGCTCCCCTTTCCCCTACTCCATTTTGACTATTATCAAGCAAAAACGTTTTTTGTATTGAAATATATGGTATGGTTGTAGTGACAAATAGAGTGGTTTCATGCAACCTTCAACTGGGAGAAATGTAGCGATGTATACCAGTCAGCTGGTGGGGGCTGAGAGAAAGTTGATATGGGTTGAAGGCAGAGCAGGACCTGCCACGTAGATAAAATCCATTTCAAACGTTTAAAACATTGTTTGTTAATCATGATTGTTAAGGATTTTTTTTATTTTATACTTGGTAGGTTTTCTTTATTATAATTATGTAATGCTAGTTTTCTGTAAGCCAGAAATGGCAGGAAGGATAAACAACTGCAAACAGACTGAAAAAAGAAGGTAAAGGAAGCTAGTTGGACGTTACTCAGATGATGACAATGCCTCCTAGAAGTTAACATGACATTGAATTATACTATAGATAAATATTACAATAAGTTAAATTATAACTAGCTTGGGGAGTACCAAGTGAGCGGGTTCAAATCCTTCTCATGGCTCCTCCTGATTTTCTTGTTGATACTGTACATCATATTAGTGTGGTTCCATGTTAAATTATGTTACTTGAAGTTCTAGAACATAATTTTGCATGTATGTTAAGTTTACTAGGAGGGAAAGGAGGAAACTATCAAGGAAACATGCCAAGCCATTACGACTATATAGCACTGGTAAGGGATAAGGATTTGGGATGGGAAGGGGGAAAGGAATAGTGCCCAACCACTTCGACGGTTGGGGATTGAACGCCGACCTGCACGAAGCGAAACTGTCGCTATACAGTCCAGCCTAGGTGGGAGGGGAAGTTAACTAGGAATAAGTAGAGAGACATACAAACACAAACATTAAATGATGAAAATATGGATTGATATGTGAACACAGCTTAGTAGATATAAATGCTGAAAGAAAAATGTAAGGAAGCAAAGGTGTATGTTCAGATATGCAGACAAACACACTCAAAGATGAGAAGATGAAAAGAGGGATGGACAGACAGACAAGGCAGATTGAAAGAAGGGTACATAGAACAAGGAATAGTTGAAGAAAGGTTGAAAAA